CAGCTCGACGACAAAACATTTCGACTCAGCGGGTACAAACGCCACCGCCGAAGTTTCATCAGTTACTCCACCCACCGCGGCAGGTGGTCTATGATGGGCTAGCCAACGGACAAGTCACACCACCAGCGGTATGAGTGCTCGACCCCATGGGAACCTTCTCTTCCATTCCCCTTGGTTTGTATGGACCAGAAAGTCCGAAGTTCAAGATCTGATTTTTTTATTTATTTTTTTCGCATCCAGCAGGAAAAACTTCAAATCTACAACAAAAAGGGGAACCAATCCTTAACGGATCATTCACCACACCACCACGGATCGTTCTTCTCCGGAATTTCTTGATGTTTTTGGTCTGGAGTCCGGGTTTCTGGGGGTGTCAAGGCTGAAATGATCCGGACACTTTTCGGATCCTGTGAAAAAACAGCCGGAGCTTTGAGGGTACAATTCGAAAACATCCGTCCCGGAATCAATTCCGAGATTGTCTGACTAAACTTCTACAAGGCAACTGGCTACACAAGTACCAAGGTTCAGGTTCTCTATCCCTTTCCCACCCGCCAGCATGCAAAAGGGTGGAAACCTACGTAAGTGTATTCGAGTTGCGATTACTGAAAAGTGTAGAGCAGACGCGTGAGACGCAAGGTGTCAATTATGTCCGCATCCATGCTCAGTGTGAGTTTGTGTGCAACTCTTTTCAATGCGAGGAGCTGGAACCTTCTGGTCACGCGCACTCTTCGTTGGTGTTTCTGATGTAGCTGTTTCCACTCCTGATTTTGTGTCACTTACGAACAAACAGGTCAGTTTCCAGAAACACAGTCAGCAGGGGTAATCCGTTGAAGAGTACTGTTGGAAATGGGTAACGTTCATTGGGTAATTTTTCCGGGTTCCCCAGGTGGGGGATGCAGCCTCCCCAACCAGTCCCTTGCTTTTCATGGAAGTGTCCCTCCCTTGTGCTCTGCTGAATTCTTTACATCCCAGCGAAATGCGAAGGAAAATATCACCACTGTACTGTGCCGTACCGCGTGAAATATGGCAGCGATGCTGCAGGTGTACACATGATCCTTCTTACAGACATCCGCGCTACTCGCACAATCACGGTTAAGGACCCAATGATGTATACACCCTGCTCTTATCCCCTAGTGTATATGCACATTTACTGCTCAACATGAAACGACCCATAGGTGTGCACGGTTCAAGATTGCGCACTGATTTTGCATCGAACAATGAGATTCTTCTCGAAGATTACGTTAGCAAAAAAAATTCGCCAGGCGGAGTTACTTGAACGCTTATCGTCAGCCAACGAGTTGTAAACACGCCACGTAAATATAGAAGTTTCTTGCTGCAACAGAAACAGGTGTACAGATGAATGAACCCAGGAACACGTCTGTGTTTGCCAACGCAATTCACCAGGGTGTTCCACCAACTTCAAATGCATGGGAGTGAGCTCAGCCAAACCAATTAGAACAGCCACAAGCAACACCCCGTAATCCCACCCATCTCGCTCTTTGCCCAACTGACAACATGACTGCCCCGCGCTCCCGTCGCCTGCCTCGCCTGCACAGGAGGGCCCATATTTTGTTGGACATGAAGCGCAAAATCTGTCCCCAAGCGGAAACTCACCAATCCTGGCGCCAGGAGGATCTCGCCCGTTGGTGTTTCACGAGGTTCGGGATCGTTCCCGACCGCAGCACAGCGGGGAGGATTCTTCACCAGGCGGATAAGGAAAGCCGCTTCTGCAGCATAGTACGCAAACCGTTTGCGGAAAGGTCGTTACCCTAACCTGGAGAGAGCTTTCAAGGTATGGGTGAATGGCGCGGAAGATGCTGGCATCCCCATCATCTTGGCGATTATTCGCCCGAATGCTCTGGTCTTGCGCGCTGAGTATGGCATCCCTGACACCTTCGAGTGCTTCATCAGTTGATGTCACCGTGCCATGCACCGCATGGGTTTCCAACATCTTCCACGCAAAGGCGAGGCGTTCGACGCGGATAAGGCTGCCGTCGATTAGTGCCAACAGCGCTTGCCGGAGCTCATCGAGGCAATCGGCGTTATTCCTCATGACTTGTACAATTGGGACGAGACCGCGCTCTTTCTAGGGCAGCAATGTTGACATACCTAGATGGATGGCTCGCCCATCGGTCGTAAGGCTGCAAAGGACCGCATTAATGTGGGGTTTCTGTTCAACACTGACGCCACCAGCATGTATCGCCCTCTCATCGTCTCCAAAGTGCGACGCCCGTCTGACTTCAACGACATCCGCTTCGACCTCAACTCGTACGTCTACTGGCGCCACAATATTAAGGGTTGGATGACCAACGATGTGAGTGGTATTGTGTGCTCTATACATGCCGGTGCATACAATGAATACTTTCCTATTACCTTCTCTCGAGACCTGCCTGCATCGTGAAGATTCTGAAGCCCCCTCCCTTGTATGTTTCATTGGTTCTCCCCCCCCTACTACTACAGATGTTCACCTCTCTTTTTGATTCTGTGAATGCCTGCATGTTCGCTGAGCAGAGGCACATCGTTATCTTGGTTGACAATGCATCCTCTCATAACATGTTCTCACCCACGGCCATCACAGAGGATGCATGTGGCTTCCGTACGCGGAAGCTCAGCAACCTCACAATCAGCCCCACTACACTACCTCATACTGTCAGCCCTTGGACCAGGGTATCATCGCGACCGTCAAGCGGCGGTTTCGATCCAGGTGGCTTGACGAGCTGTGGAAGCTGTGGGACTTCCGGTCATCACTAGCGTCGCATGTGACAAAGAAGCCAAAGGCATGGCAGACCGTGCAGTGGATCACCGATGCATGGGGCAACGTGGAGCCTGCCACTATGCAATGGTGCTGGCATCACGCCAAGTTCCTGCCCCGCAGCTGGAGTCGAATCCTTCCGCACCTCATGTACGAAAGCTCTGACCCCAACGATCAGACCGAAGACCTTTGGGTGGTGGGGCCACAGATCGACTAGTTCGCATTCGGTACTGACGCCCTCTTGGCCGAGGACTTCGCCCGCATCGACGAAACCCACCCAACGTGGGAGCCCGATGACGTCGATCCTCTCTCTGCCGAGCCCCCTCCTGTACGCCAGCCGGGTGGAGAGCCCTTGTTCTTCATCAAGCTTTCTGAGCGTGCGAGGGCAATGCAACGGGTGACACTCCTAGCGACATACCTGCTGATCGCCTATGCGAAGGTGACATGCATCTGTCCCCACTACCTTAAGGAGCTATTCAATATCTGAAATGCATAAATCATCAAGCGCCTAGAGAGGGCCAGCCCGAAGCAGCGCAGGTCGTTCAGCATCGACCTGAATTACGCGCTGTCTCCTCACGCTTCATCCAGTCGCAACAGAGATGGCGACACGGCGGACAGGGCAATCGGCCGTGAACGTGTTCTGCAGGCGAATGCCGAGATGGATGGCCTTGCGGGCGTGATAGAGATTATGAGGACATTCTAAAACCCCCGTCTCTTCCCCTCCATGTGTCTCCTATACCACATATTACGTGGAGGTGCTGGTGCTGGAGCAGGAGAGTGTGTCATGGCAATTCTGTGTGCCCATGTCTGAGAATGCGTATGCAAGTGTGGGTGCTATTTCGTATGCTCTGTATATAGTGTCATTCAAGGTGTGCCTTCCCTCTGTCCCTGTGTTTCCTTGCTTTCCAGCTGGGGCGTGGCGGATCGGCGGCGATGAATAGTACTCCCATTTGTTTGGTGCGTGCCATGAGTTTGTATGCTATGGTGGGCGTTTCCCCTGGGTTTGACCGTGATGATGGGTGTGTGTTTGCCTTGATGTGCCTTCCTGTTTGGGACTTGCTTATGTGTGTGTGCCCTACCGGCTCAATTATGTGCCTCTCTGGTTTGTGTATGCTTGAGTACGTGTGTGTGTGCTCTGTGTTGTATATCAGTAGGATAGTGTGGTGTTTGTGTGTACAATAATATGCATTCGTGGTGTGTGCCATGATTAAGTATGTGTGGTCTATTTGTTATCTGTTGCGTGGTCTCTGGTGTGCGCTTGTGATGTGTGTGTAAGCGGTGCTGTGTAGTCGGCATGGGGTCGCGTTGCGGGTTTGGTAAGGTGTGAGGGCATGCTTGCATAAACGTCTTGCATTTTATGAGTGCTTGCGCAGTGAAAACATATGTGGTAGACGGAGTGATGATGGGATGAGGTTGGACGCAAGTTGAGAGGTGTTTGGTGTTGTCATCTGTAAGTCGTCTATAAGCCGTAGCTTTTATGTGCGTATCAGAAGGGGGGAGAGGAGCGTGTAGAGAGTCGGTGCAAAAGGCTGGAAGGAGAAGACGAGCAGGTGGACAATGCGTACAAGAAGCATTGTTGGGTGGACCTATGAGCAACAGAAAGGAGGAGGACGTTGTTGGGCGATGTGGAAGTTGGGGGATCGCAACATCGCTAGTTTCTGTGGAGATAGTTAAGCTGACTTGTACCTATGTCAGGAGGGGGCTATAATGGGTTCGATTGTGGAAACAGTTTCAGTTGTGTGGAACAATTTCAGAAGTGTTGTAGTTCTACCTCTGTTGTACCATAATCGTAGTGAATTGTAATTGTTGTAACATGATCCGTTTCATGTGGGGTCGGCATTTTCATGCGCCTGTTACATGAGGTTTCGCCACACCGGACACGGCAAGACCGCCCGCATTAAATGACTAGGGTTCGGCTACTCCAGCCCCCGAAGTGTACAGGCCCTTTTGCCGGGCGTTTTGGGCCGAGGATACATGCACGCACCGCACAAAAAAATCGCTTGCCTGAATCGTGGATCATGTGTACAGTGTGAATCGCGCTTGTGGTGGGTAGAGGGTCCTCGTGTCATTGCCAAGGTCCTACATCTGATGAACGGAGGGAGGCTCGAGGTGAATTGTCACTGTGGACCGCACTAAACCGTCCTGTAACCACACCATCTACAACCACCTTGTTCACTGTTGGTGGGAGGTGCAGCAGAGCGTCCCCCCGAGAATGGCTTACCGTTGCGTGGGGAACTTCTCAAACAACCATGGCTGGTATCTTCTCTGCTACTATCGCTGATTATTCTCCTCTGTTGGGTGAGTCTTTCCTGAGGACTCCAACTGACATGTGGATCTCAAACCTCAAGCATCCCTCTGTCCCGCTTCCCTGCATCCTAGCCCAAGGATCTGCCTTCTCTGCCACGGTTCCTCAAAATCGACAAACCCTACCACTATCAGCTCGCATGCTGTTCAGAATCCGCGCCGCCTGTAGGGCTAAAGTATCCGTCCGAACTTAAACAAACATGCTGTTCAATCGTGCTACTACTACTTACGACTAGTGCTACCAGAACTGGAGCTGAAGCTCGACGACTCCAAGACAGCATCACTCTATGATATTTAGTCTGAAATCATCCGTCGTTACTACTAAACTGGTACTTACGACGATTGCGTTTCCAATCTCGTATCAAGCGTCGCCGGTGGGGTCAATATTGACTCACGTCTCCCGAGCAAACGCGTCGTTCGCCAAGTCTAAAAAATCTTACGACGGCGGCCTTTCTGATTCTACTATCGAGCATCGCTGGTGACGTCATCATGTGACCCGACCAAGCCTCATGCTGCGTCGTCAACGGAGGCTGCGAGTTTGTTGAGTCGACTCAAGACGAAATTACTATCACACGTATTATACACCCGACCAAGCCTCAGGCAGCGTCGTTTCAAACGGAGTCTGCGAGTTGCGGAGGGTGGTTCTACTCGGGCGCTGCCGAATCATCCCGAGGGTATTTTGAGTCTACTTCGAAGATTTACCCCGGCGCGGGAATCGAACAGCCGCGGAACTTAGATTCTTATCCGATACACACCTAGACTAGGCTTTCTAGATTCAGCATCATCATGAGTATTCCCAGCGGCGCGGGGAAGGTTCCTCCCTCCGCTGGTACGCGCTTCGTTCCTAGCCTCCGTCCGGCCGCTTTAACCTACTACCCCCGCGGCCCTTGCTGCTCTGCATTCTATCCTGCTTCACGTGTATTTTTAGTCGACTCAAAATACACCTTGCTGCACTGCACTCTGCTTCCAATCTTGAATCGCGTCACCCTGTATCAGAATCTTCTCCCAGAATCTCCTGACCCTACTTGAGAGACCCTATTTTTCTTGAGAGCTAATCGGCGGTTCGGCCTACTCTCTCGCCCGACCAGACTCTTTACCCCGCTTCTCTTATCTCCTTCCCCCCCCGGCTCCTCCGGCCGCTATCTACCCGTGACCCCTCATCCTGGCAGCAGCGGGGAGTAAGAGGCGCGCGGAAGATGCCGCTGGGGAAGGCGCAGGCGGCGGCGTCGGTGCTGGCGGAAGCGGCGGACGCTATGGCGGGAGGAGGAAGCTAGAATCTTCCGACCCTTCCGCTCCAGAGTTGCCCCCGCCGAAAGCGGCGCCAGCGGCGCTGCAAGGACGTCCGCCCACGCCGCCGACAGCCGCAGCGGTGCCGTCGCCTACGGTGACGGCGCAACAGCGGACGGCGCAACAACAAGCGGCGCAACAGGCGGCGGTACGGGCGGCGCAGCGTGCGGCGGCGGGGATGGCGGTGCAGCAGCAGCACGCGTCGGGGGGGCTGCACGTGCGCGCGCTGTGGCTGACAGTGAGCCAGGCGGAGCGGTACCTCTTGCTGGAGGACCAGGAGACGGGGGATGTCTTGATGCCGCTCATTCACATGCGGGTGAGGTGGCTCTTTGTGTGGCTCTTCCTTGTGGGAGGGGATAGATTGCGCGCTGTGGCTGACAGTGGGCCAGGCGGAGCGATACCCGCTGCTGGAGGACCAGGAGACGGGGGATGTCTTGATGCCGCTCCCTTCTCCCCTTTCACCAATGTCAGATTTTTTAGGCGCCTAAAAGATCGCTCCCTTCTCCCTTTTCACCAATGTCAGGAAGGACATGTCGGTGTCTTCTCCGTTCGCTAGCACCGTCTTTCAAGCACCGTCGCGTCACCATCTCCTCTGCTCTCCCTGCCGCTGCTGCCTCGCCCACTTCCCCCTGGAATCCCCCACTTCCCGCCTCTCTCCGACTTCCTCCCCCGCTCTTCCCCCCCCCCCTTGGCAGAAAATGTTTGAGGCCAATTACAGCCGCAAGCTTTCGTCCCTGAAGCACCACCTCGTTGTCTCCATTTCTCCCGATCTCGCCGCCTCTGCCGCTGCTGCCTCTCATTCCTCACCCCCTCCCCCCCCCCTCCCTCTTTCCCCTCCCCATCCCCCTCCCCCCCGTCCCTCATCAGAAAATGTTTGAGGCCAACTACAGCCGCAAGCTCTCGTCTTTGAAGCACCGCCTCGTCACCATCTCGCCCGATCTCGCCGCGTCCGCCGCTGCTGCCTCCGCGCTGCCCTCCCCCCCCGCGCTGCTGCAAGGCTTCCTGTACTGGCGCTGGGCTTTTGAAAGCCCGCACGAGGTGAGCGAGAGAGAGGGGAGACTGGCAGGGTAGAGAGTGGGGGAGTTAAGGAGACTATAGGGGGATGGCTGCTGCTGCCTCCGCGCTGCCCTCCCCGCCCGCGCTGCTGCAAGGCCTCCTGTACTGGCGCTGGGCGTTCGAGAGTCCGCGCGAGGTGAGAAGTGGGGTGCGGGGAGGGAGAAGGAGGGAGAGGGGTGAGAGGGTGAAGGGAAGGGCTGGGGGCTCACGCTGCTCCAAGGCCTCCTGTACTGGCGCTGGGCGTTCGAGAGCGCTCATGAGGTGAGTGAGTGAGAGACAGGGGGGGGGTGGGGGGAAGGGCTTTTGGCAAGCATAGCATTGCGCATCTGCTGGTTGTTGCCAAAGCTCTGCCCGCTTGTGCCATCACCTCCTGGGGGGTGTTAATGAGAGTTTTCAAAAACACCCTGCAAAATCAGGGGGAGCAAGCATAGCGTTCCGCGTCTGCTGGCTGTCTCCTAGGCTCCGTCCGCTTGTGCCATCTCCCCCTGTGTTTCTCTTGCCATGCTCCTCCGGGCAGGTGAAAGTTTTGGTGCGCAAGATGCTGGGGGAGGAGAACACCCCTCAGGGGCACCTGCGGCTGATCCTCGTGCCCATCGTGTACAACGCCATGGCGCTCAAAGAAAACCTCAGACAAGTGAATAACTTATTTATTGTGCTGTTACTGTCACTGTTGCTGCCACTGTTACTTTTACTGTTACTGTTCTTCCCATTCTCGTGCGCATCGTTTACAATGCCATGGCGCTCAAGGAGAACCTCAGAAAGGTAAATCCCTTACTTACCTAGCTGTTGCTGCCGCTGTTGCTGCCGCTGCCGCTGTTACAGTTTCTTCTTATCCTCGTGCCTTCAGTTTTCAGCATGATGACACTTCAAGCGAATCCTTCTTCCTTCCCCCCCCCCTCCCCAACCCCCCCTCTGCCAACCCCCCCCCCCCCCCCTCCCCCCTCCTCTCCCCAACCCCCCCTCTGTCCCCATTCCCCCCTACAGACGCCCTTCTTTGCGAAGCTGGAGGCGGCCCTGCGCCTCTCCTCATACTGGCAGCTGCTCAAACCGCAGTCGGAGGAGGACAACGGGCCTGCTTCCTCTGCTCCTGCTGCTGCTGCTGCTGCCACTGGTGCTGCTGATGGTTCTGATGCTGGTGCTTCTGGTGCTGCTGGTGCTGCTGCTGGGATGGGGGAGAAGGGCGAAGGGAGTGTGCATGGGGGTGAAAGGGGAGAGGGGGTAGCAGGAGAGGAGAAAGAAGAGGAGGGAGCAGCAGGGGGGGGAGGAGGAGAGATTATATTCCCGGGCCCGTTTGATCTGCTGAGGACAGTGGCCAAGTATTGCGTCTCCTACTCCGCTGCTGAGGAGGCTGAAAAAGGGTAAGGCGGTGGGGAAGGGGTAGGGCGGTGGAGAGGGTTAGGGGGGTGGAACGGGTAGGGCGGTGGAGAGGGTTAGGGGGGTGGGTGGAAGGGCGGTGGAAGGGTGGCGGAAAGGGTAGGGTGTACTGCTCCCAATCCCACTGTAATCGGTACCTGTTGACTTGTCATCTCTATATAGCAGCTGTCAGCTGATAACTGGTGTCCTTTCCCTTACCGTTACCCCCCTCGCCTCTCTCCCCTCTCCCCTTTGCTCAGTTATAACAGCTTCTTTCCCCCTCTCTCCCCTCCCCCATTCCCCCCTTTTCATTCCCCCCCTCCTTTCCCCCTCCTTTCCCCCTCCTTTCCCCCCTCCTTTCCCCCCTCCTTTCCCCCTCCTTTCCCCCTCCTTTCCCCCCTCCTTTCCCCCCTCCTTCCCCCCTCCTTCCCCCCTCCTTCCCCCTCCCTTTCCCCCCTCCTTTCCCCCTCTTCCCCCCCTCCTTTCCCCCCTCCTTCCCCCCCTCCTTTCCCCCCTCCTTCCCCCCCTCCTTTCCCCCCTCCTTCCCCCCTCCTTTCCCCCCTCCTTTCCCCCCTCCTTCCCCCCCTCCTTTCCCCCCTCCTTTCCCCCCTGTGTCCGCCCTCCAGCAGCGGTCAACCGTGGGAAATGGTCCTTTACCGCCTTGCCTTTCTTTCTCCCCAGCAGTAGCACCAGCATATCTTGAGTCGCCATTCTTTACCGTGGGAAAATATTCCCTGCTGTCCCTCTTCCCCCCCCCCCCTCTCCGCGCCCAACTCGCCCCCACACACCAGCAAGCAGCGGTCAACTATGGGAAATGCGCCCTTCGCCGCCTCGCCTTTCTTTCTTCCCACCAGCAGCAGCGCTCTCCCCACTCCTCCCCTCTTCCCCGCCTGTGCCGCCGACACTGCTGCTGCCAACGCTGCTGCTGCTGCCGCTGCCGCTGCTGCTGCTGCTGCTGCTGCTGCTGCTGGTTCTGGTTCTGGTTCCGCTGCTGCTGCTGCTGCTGCTGCTCCTGCCAATGCCACTCCTGCTGGGAGTGATGGTGGGAGAAGGGGGGGGAAGGGAGCAGGGAGAGGGAGCAATGGTGTAAGTGCGGGTGTGGGGGGTGTAGCAGCACTGGCAGGTGCTGCGGCTATGATCTCTGCTGCTGCTCCTCCTGCTTCCCCTGCTGCCTCCTCAGCCCCTTCTGTCCCTGACAGTTACGGGTATAGGGAGAGAGGAGGTGGAGGGGAGGAAGGGGGGGTGAGAGGAGGAGAGAGAGGGGGAGAGAGAGGTGGAGGGGGAGGGGATGCAAGTGGTGAGAGAGAGATGTTTAAAACTGGGGAATCCGGGATTGGATTTGATTCTGGCCTGCGAGATGGGTTGTTTGGGCGGGCGGGGAGGGGGGAAGAGGAGGAAGGGGTGAGGAGTGGGGAGTGGGGGGGAGGCTTGGAGGCAGCAGAAGGAAGGGGAGGAGAGAGAGGAGGAGGGAGAGAAAGAGAGGGGGGAGGAGGCCGAGAAAGGGGAACAGGGGATGGTTGGGGCGGGGAGGGTCGGACAGGAGGCTCGGGGTTAGGTTCGGCAGGAGATTCGGCTGCTCTGCTTCGGGAGATAGTGGAGGTTCGGGAGCAGGGCAAGGCGGTTCAGGCAGAGGTCCAATTGCTGCGCAGGGATTGGCTGGCTCATGCTGCTGACGTGAGGGCCCATGCTGCTGACGTTAGGGAGGAGATGAATCGCATTAGGGGACTTCTGGAGCAGGTTCTTCTGGTTGTGGGGTCGAGAGGGTGAGCACTGAGCGCTGAACATGTGTTGCAGTACAGGCTTGCCATGTGCTTCCATTGTGACTTTTGAGTCGACTCAAAAGTCGACTTGCCATGTGCTTCCATTGGTGCATGCCATGGTCTACCCTGCTCCCCCCCCTCCTTCCTGGACGTCATACTTCCTCTCTTTGCCCGTCTCCGTCCCCTCGTCTTCCCCTCGTCTTCCCCTCGTCTTCCCCTCGTCTTCCCCTTGTGTTGTCCGGTGCATTGTCCGCATGCTCTCCCTTTCCCTGCTGCTCCTTTCCTTTCCTTTCCCTGCTATTCGTTGCCTTTCCCTGCTATTCGTTGCCTTTCCCTGCTATTCGTTGCCTCTCCCTGCTTCTTATTCTCTTTCCTCCTCTCTCTCCTTCTCCTCCCCCTTGCTGCCATTTCTTATTCCACTCCCTTCTCTCTGTTTCTGCCCTACCCTCTGTTTCCTCCCTTCTCTCTGCTTCTGCCTCACCCTCTGCTTCCTCCCTTCTCTCTGTTGCTGCCCTGCCCTCTGTTTCCTCGTTCCTCTCTGATTCGCCCACCAGCAGCACTGAAGCGCCTCCTTTGAGTCAACACACTGCATTTGCGACAGCAGCAGCAGAACCAGCAGAACCAGCACCAGCAGCAGCAGCAGCAGCAGCAGCATCCATGCACCCAGAAAACGTGGCAATCCAACCCCTCTTTCCACCCATGCCTTCCCATCCTTCTCCTTCCGCTGCTGCCGCATCTGCTGCAGCATCTGCTGCTGCATCTGCTACTTTGTTTGGTCTGAGTATCACGGATCGTACCCTGGCTTCTCTGCCTGCTGCCACTCGTGCTGGGGGCGGTGGTGTTGCGGCTGATGGTGCTGCTGTTGCTTACGCTGCTGCTGATGGTGTTGCTCCTAACGGCGCTGCTAACAGGTCTGCTGGCGTTCTTTCTGTCAATGGCGGGGGCTCCTCTTCTGCGTCTGCTGCTGCTCCAGCCTTTGCTGCTTCCACTGATCCTGCCTTTCCTGGTGGCGCCCCCGCCATTGCTGCTTCTGACGCTGATGCAAACGGTTCAGGCATCGATTTTACCAGAGAGGAGTACAAGGGAGCGCGGTGGCACGGTGCGGCAGATGGTACTGGGAGAGGTGACGACTACAGTACTCATCAGCCGTCCCGTGGTAGGGAGCATGCTTTTAACGAGTACAATAGCTTTGCGGGCGTTAAAGAGTGGAGCACACGAGAAAGCGCTAGGGGCATGGTTTCGGGGGGAAATGGGAGGTGGGTTTTAGACTCTGGGAGGGAGGAGAGGAAGGGAGAAGGGAGTGTGAGGAGGGAGGTGACAGAGGGAGGGGAGAGAGGGGGGGATGTGAATGCGCATGGGCAGAACAACTGGTGGGGGAGAGGTAGGGATGTTGAGTGGAGGAATGATGCACGGAGGGAGGGGGGTGGAGGGGGGAGAGAAGAGGTGCGGATAGTGGGGAGAGGAGAGATGGTGAGTGAGATGGAGAGGGAGTGGGGAAGGGGGATGGAGCGGGGGAGTGAGATGGGGAGAGAGAGAGCAGAGAAGCAGGGAAGGGGTGTGTGGCAGAAAGACGGGGAATTGTTACAACCCAGCAGTTTGCTATCAGAGCAAGGACAACAGCAAGGGCAGCAACAGCAACAGCACCAACACCAGCAGCAGCACCACCAGCAGCACCACCAGCAGCAGCAGCAGCAGCAGCAGCAGCAAGAGCAAGAGCAGAGGAAAGAGGTGGTGGAATCACATGGATCGTGGAAGGAGCAGGTGGAAAGCCTGCAGCAGCAGCTGATGGTGTACGAGCAACGACACCAGATGATGCTGCTGCTGCAACGGGACCAGCAGCAGCAGCAGCAGCAGCAGCAGCAGCAGCAACCAGAACAGTACAAGAGCCACCAGCCACGGCAACACTTGGAGATGCTGCAACACGGGTTGCACCTGCAGCACCACCAACTGCAGCCCCTGGGAGAGCACAAGGAGCACCAGCAGCACCAGCAGCACCAACAGCACCAGCAGCACCAGCAGCACCAGCAGCACCAGGAGCACCAGCAGCACCAGCAGCACCAGGAGCACCAGCAGCACCAGCAGCACCAGCAGCACCAGGAGCACCAGCAACAACTAGAACATGTGGGCGAGGACCGAGACCTGAAGATGCGAAATAGAGCATCCTCACCTCCGTGCTGCTTCCTTCGATTGTGATTTGGTGTTGTACAATAAATTGGGCTTTTGCAGAGCAACAATGCGAGAACGGATGTTGTGCAAGCATGTGCATGTTCTTATGAGACGGTCGAGTTTCACTCTTACACACAGCAATCAGCTTAAAGTTTCTTGTTATCAATTTTCCATCTTCAAAAAGTCGTTTCGACAGACATCTACTTAAGCAGTCGCCACATATACACCAAAAGACATATTCCAGAACACATCCTCGCTATAACACACGACCACCACCCCACTCTCACCCCTCCCATACACTCCCTCCCTACACCCAAATGTCCGAAGAGCAATCTCCGCCAGGGTACCGCGTCTCATGCGCCAGCGCGGGACCCTCGGGGAAATCCCCGAAATCCACGAAGAAATCCTTATCGAGCGTGAGACCCCCTTTTTCCGTGTCCACGTGGACAAGCAGCAGATGCCCGCCTTTCTGGATAAGGTCGGGGTAGAACTGACGGTCCCACGACGAGAAGAGCGAATTCGTCACGTACAGACGTTTTCCGTCAAGGCTCAGTTGAATCATCTGCGGACCTCCCCTCAGCTCCTTGCCCTGCAGGTCAGTGGGTACGAGGGATCGGGGAGCGGGGTTCGCGGGGAAAATAGGTGAGATTGAAGGAGGTGGTTGGCGAGGGAACCAGGGAGCAGGAACGGACGGCGAGGATGAAGGGGAGGAATGGGGACCTTGAGGGAACCGGAATCCCGACCCGACCCTCGCCAGATAGTAAAGATCGAATCGGAAGAGTACCTTCACAGTGGGTACATCTGGTGCAGGGCTGCCGTTCTTCTCCCTGACAGCGCCTCCCTCGCGAATCACCCCCCCCAGGAACACCTGCCCCACGAGCTTGGGATTCGCGGGGTCCGAGATGTCGTACTGGCGCAGATCGCCTTGCAGCCAGTTGGAGAAGAAGAGGAAGCGGTCGTCCAGGGATATGAGGATGTCGGAGATGAGACCCGGGAGTTGCGGTAGCGCCCAGCCTTCCACGTCCTTGGGCTCCACGCGGATCACCACCTGGAGTGACAAGAGTGTCAAAAGGAGAGCAGGGGAAGGGGTGAGAAGCGACAGAATGAGATGTCGTACTGCCGCAGGCTTCCACCTCCTTGGGCTCCACGCGGATTATGACCTGGAGTGACAGGAGTGACGGCGAGAGAGCAGGGGAAGGGGTGAGAAGCGACACGATGTGTCGTACTGCCGCTGCTGGTCGCGTTGCGGCCAGTTGGAGAAGAAGAGGAAGCGGTCTCCGAGAGAGTTTAAAATGTCGGAGATGAGACCGGGGAGTTGGGGGAGCGCCCAGCCTTCCACCTCCCTGGGGTTCACGCGGATCACCACCTGGAATGACAGGAGTGACAGGAGGAGAGCAGGGTGAAGGCGATAGAATGAGATGTCCTTGATTTTGCAGGGTGTTTCTGAGAATTCTCAAAAACACCCTGTCGTACTGCCGCACCCTTCCACGTCCTTGGGCTGCCACGGATCGCCACCTGAAGGGTAAGGGGGCGTTAGGGAGGAATCGTGCGAGAAAGGGGGACAGCGGAAAGTGGCGTAGGGGAATCAACCACACGCATTCGGAACCTGGCCATCCGATCAGAACCCTCTCAGCCATTTCAGCGGGACCTAAACCTTCCCCCCAACGGTCACTTACATCTGTGGCCCATTTCCCCGACTCCTCTTTAGTGATCCGAATTATGTTGCTGCTCAGCGCCGCGCCGACGAATCCAACGGCCTTATCCGGGTCGTGCAGAAAGCGAATCTCCAGCGGGATCAGCCCTTCGCTCCCCAGATCGACGGTCTGCGTCAGCTCGTGCGTCGTCCAATCCCAGAAGTACAAGTGCCGCCCGTAATCCTCCGCCACGTGTCCGGGATCGAACCCCTTCGTGAACCGCTTCGGCGCGCCCCAGGAGCTACTAACGAGTACGTTGTGTCGCGGCTGGTACCAATAGTCGTAATGGAAAGGAAGCTTCGCCCCACCTTCCTTCTGCCACCGGCCCTTAATCTCGAAATCCTCGCTAAGCAGCAGGAACCCCGTGTCGCCCGCGTTGCCCTCCGAGTCGCCTAAGGCGGAGATTAAAATATCCCCAGATCCCAGGCAGTGCGTGGTATGCAGGAACGCCAGCCCGGTTTTCGCGGCGATATCTTCGGCCTGCACGACCTTGTGGAGGGACGGCTCTCGCGGATTGGTCGCGACATCCACGGCGTAGACGCGGCTCGACCTGCGGGTGGAAAGTTCCACAGAAACATCCAATTTCGCGAGAATTTGATTGGTTAGCCGACAGTAATGACTCATTAGTCCCGAAATTGGGCAAGCGGGTCATGATTTCTGGGAATTGCCTACCTACAACCCCCTCCGCCGAAGAGGCCACCAGCACTCCGACAGGAAAATAGTCATGAGAAAGGACGAGCTGGCGTCGATAGTATCTGAGAGTGTATGGCATCGATGGTGTGGGACGTACTGTAGAGCTGGCAGGACGAGGAACTTGCGCGACTTGGTGGGATCGTTGACGCACGAGCTGCACGCGTTCCATCCTGCGACGCACAACGTGCAAGAATTCAAAAGGAGCTGATTACTAACCGGATGGAAACTAATTCAATAATTATTCTAAGTTCGAATGCGTAATAAGGGATGCTGGTGGGCGAAAGTAAATGGTAACCGTGTCGTACCAGAGTGATGCAGCTCGTCGTTGAGGTGCGGCATGAACAGCCGGTGAATTACTTGACCGAAGCTGTCCGACTCGGGATCCACGTCGATCGTCGCCAGGAAATCCGGCTTCTCCACGCCCGTGCCCGTGTAAATGCCCGTCGTGTACAGTAGCTTCTCGCGCGGCCCCTGCGTCGCTGCTAACGGGGACACGTATCCCGGGCCCTTACCGCAGCACGACCCCGCTGCCCCCTCAGCACCTGATTTTCCGCCACCCATAATCGACCACCCTAGTGGTAACTAGAGATTGGAGTGCCGCAAATCTCGGGCCTGGAGACTGGCGGTGATTACCAGGCTTGAGCGGAAGCCTAGAGAGACAAAGAAGCAAGGTCCGAGGAGGCCCTACTGTGGAACGAAATGCTGATGCGGCAATGACTCTGTGAGCTGCCTGCGATGGGATAAATGCGTCTGCCGCTCCGAATTGAAATAACTGCTAGGAATTTCTTCACAGACGAGGAGGAAATTCGGAAAAATCGGGACTGCTGTTGGCAGGCACGGGGCGAATTCCACGCGTGGGCGGCGCCTTGTCCATATTCAGAGCATACTCTGTACAGTGTGATTGTGAAGGGTGGTTTGGCGGTATTCAGTGAACCAGCGACTGGCATCGAGTGTTGCGTGCACATTCGTCAACGCATGCATTCGCCCGCCCCCAATCCCCAACAAAAGATACAAGTGCCATTTAGGAAGAGTGAGCATAATCATACGTGTAAGTGCAGGGTGCTCCTCGCACCATGTTGTACTGCCTAAAGTGAATACTGGAATGACTCATAACGGGAGAAACCAGCAACCCCACCAACCACAGGTCATCCCGCTAACGCAGGGAGGATTCTTGCGTCCCGTGAGTGTTATTCCGAGGGTGACACCGACTTTGCCTGTAAGCTAGGTTCGGCCGAACCTAGCTCAGGGGCAAGTGCTGGGTGAGATTGGCGGCTGACACAAGCCTTCATTTTCAGTCAGTAGGCAGGGGCACTAGACTACACAGTATGCGGACTCAAGATGTAAAGTTAGTTGAATAAAACCGGCGAAGCTTTCCTGAATTCCCGCGTCCTCATCCATTGCCGAACCACCAGCCAATAAAATCCGCTGATGTTATGCCTTCCTCCCATCCCGTTCCGTCCCAGCCTGTCCCTCCCATTCCGAACTCTGCTCCTTTTCAAGTTCAGCAGCCAGCCGAGCCACGCCCTCAGTCCCTTCCTTTTACAACTTGAGCTCCTTTCCAAGGTTGCTGAATCCATGAAGACGTGCTCCTTTTCATACGAAGGGAAGGATGGGTACACTAGGTTCGGGAGGACGAGTTGGTTGAAGGCTAGTAGTTGGAAGAGTCAGAGCAGGAGAATACTCACTATGATCAATCTTCATGTAACCTTCCCCCGGAAAACGAAAAACGACGTATGAGCACCTGCGGACAGCTCCACCGTACGTACGCGTTATTAGCAGCGTCTATCGCTAGGGCTGGTAGCTAAGTTAAACCCTAAGGCCCTCCGACTTCCAGCCTCGTCAGCATGCAGCCGCACAGGAACCGTCGTCCGCCATGCGACAATTCCGCCGTCGCATCGTTCGCCGGAGCCGTCGCAGGGATGAGTCGCGACGAGAGAGTCGCCAAGCAGCTCCCCTTGGCAACTCAGCAGGAGCAGCAGCAGCAGCAGCAGAATCAACGAGCGCAAGCTCCGGTGCCTCAGCTTAGCACTCCCCCATTCCCAATAGACACATCGTATCAGCCTGGAGCCTCTACCCAGCTATGGCTCCACCAGCCGAAGGTAAACACAGAAGCCATTCCTACTGAGTCAACGCCAGTCTCACATGGCCCAATGCCGGCCACAATGTCGCAGCGGCCGAGTTTCGCGGCGGGAATCCAAGAGCCGTCCCTGGAGTGGCCGAGTCGCGCTCAGCAGAATCCAAACCCTAGCGTCCCGCGGCACGCTGTGGCGCCAGTGGATTGGGCGCAGCGGGCGGAAGCCGGGTTTGGCGGCTTCGACAGCGGCGCTGGTGGCGCTGAGATGCGCCAGAGACCGCTTGGTGAGTTTCTGCCTTCCGCGGAGCAAATCGCTCTGCTCGAACTCCTGGCGCAGCAGCAGCAGCCGCAAGCTCAGTACCTTCCACCACAGCAGCAACGACAGCAGCAGCAGCAGCACCACCACCACCACCAGCAACAACAACAGCAGCAGCAGCATCAGCAGCAGCAGCAGCAGCAGCAGCAGATTCCACCCGATGTGATCCTGGCACTCCTTCAGCAGGGCTTTCTAGGTCCCTCCGGAAGCCATGGCGTCAGCAGCCAATTCAGGCCAGAGCTTCCTGCATCTGCCGTTCCATCGCCTGGCATTGTAGGGCCCGGGGGCGTCAATGCGCCACCGTTAACAAATGTGGGGCCTGGGGGCGTCAATGCGTCGCCATTCACAAATGTGCAGCCTGGGGGCGTTAATGCGCCGCCATCAACAAATGTGGGGCCAGGCGCTGCTGCTGCTGCGCCACCATCTGGGGTTGCGGGGCTTGGGGCGGGCGCTGCGCCATCGCTAGGACGTGTGGGGCTTGGACCCCAGGAAAGGGCCACCAGCGCCGACAGCAGCAGTGCTCCTGCGGTGAGGCCTCACGCCAATGCAACTGGCGCCTTGAATACGGCTGCTGCCAGGGAAACTGCTGCTGGTGCTGCTGCTGCTTTGATATCTCCAGCAGCAGCCGGGGACAGATTGGGCAGCAGCAAAGGGGGGAGTGGAGGCGAAGGAGGAGGAGGAGGAGGAGGAGGAGGAGGGGAAGGGGGAGAGGGTGCTGGAGGGCGGAGGTGTGTGGAGGGTTCCGGTGTGTGGAGTTCCGTTGCGAGGGGGGCTGTCAGCGGGAGGGAGGGAAAGGAGGGTCCTAGTGGGAGGGAGGTGGAGGCAGCCCAACTGGAGGCCAAGCTGAGAGCGAGGTTTGACGCAAACCAACACCCGCCGCAAGACTCCTCTCAACACCCGCCCCAACACACGCTCCAGCACCCGCCCCAACACCCGCCCCAAAACGCGCCGCAAGCCCCTGCTGTGCACCTCGCCCAGCTAGAACCTCCACATCCGCTTCGCCACCTACCTGTGCAACCCCCCCTTGAATACGCGGGCCAGGACGCGCCCGATCAGGCGGAGGTGGAGTGGCGGCCTCGGACCCGGACTCGATGCGACGCCAGTGCGATGGAGAGAGGAGTGATCAAACCCCGGAGCATGAAGGAGCGACGGAGGCGAGACAAAATCAGGTATGCTCGCATGTGGCTTGCGCGCATGTGGCTTGCTCGCATGTGGCTTGCTTGCATGTGCCTTGTGCGCATGTAGGCTGTGTGCACGCGAATCTGCCCCTAAACCCGCACTTAAAGCTGCTGCAAGAGGTGGGTTGGCAGAACTCAAGAGCTGGACTCGATGCGATGCCAGTGCGATGGAGCGATTCCGGAGCATGGAGTGATGATGTGTTGTGAGTCTATTTTTGAGTTGACTCAATGATAAACTCATTGCGATGCCAGTGCGATGAGGCAATTCCGGAGCATGAAGGAGTGACAATGGTGGGGTATGATCAGCGTCTACCTGAAGGGTGCAGTTGTTCTTTATTCTAGAGTGTCAATGCAGAGCCATGCACACACAACGGTGCACGCATGTGCAGATGCCATGTCCATGTGCAAATGTCGTGGTTTACCCATGCTTATGCATTTACATCGCATACCCTGGAGTGCCCTCTTCCTGATCTCAATACCATACCTCGTCTGCCACCACCCAGCGTTTTTTCCCCAATCGACCCTGGCTCCACATCCATTCTTGATTACGTCTCCCCTCTCCCCCTGCCCCCTTCCCCACCCCCCCCTCCCCCATTACCCTAACGCCCCAATTCCCCAGCTCCCCAACCCCCTCTCCACCGCCAGTGATGGCTTGCGGCAGCTGAGGCAAGCCACCCCTGCAATGCTGCGAGGCCCGCAGTTTTGGGGCGCAAACAATATACCAGTTCCCCCCCTCCGTGCTCCCCATCCTACCACACCCCTCCCCCTCTCCTCCACCAGTGATGGCTTGCGGCAGCTGAGGCAAGCACTCCCTGCCATGCTGCTGGGGCCACGGCAGGACATGGCGTCGATGATCGAAGCCGCCATTCACCACATTGGCAATCTCGAGGTGTGATTCCGGGCCATGCTTGGCTGAGCTGACTGCACCTGTTTTTCCTCTCCCTCCTGTAGCCCCTCCCCATGTCTAAAATGTGGGAGACTGTATTACTGAAAAAATGCTGCTTTGAAGCTCCACGCTAATTTGCACTGGCTTAATTTGTTCTGCGATTTGTTTTTCTCCAATTTGACAGTCTCGCATACAGGAAGCCGAAATGGAGGGAGATAATGATGGAGATGGAGATGGTGGGGAAAGGGAATCCCAGAAGCAAACGCTGAGTGGGCGTGAGGGGGGTGGGAGTGGGGAGCTGGGTGTGAAGGCAGAGGAAGTGGAAGGGTATGCAAGCGAAGAAAGAAACCACGATGTTGAGGATGATTTGCATTTGGACGTAGATTTTGGCGACTGAAGTTTCCTTTCCAACATGCATACAACAAATACTGTATGTACCGTGCCGTAGAGTACTGGTGAACAGGGTTGACGTTTCAAAAAATAGCACCCTGAGCTGTCGAATGTGGAAAAAAGTGTTGGAATTTTGACTTCCCTGATTTCTCAGTGTTCTGGAACCTACAACCCTGAAATCTCCAGGGTTGGCTATCAACAATCAGGGTTGCATTGCACTTGGAAAAAATCAACTAGGAATGTACAGTTACTAGTTAAGTAAAAGCACCACTACGCCACGCCAGTTTACAAGTCCTCTATCTAGTCTAGACTTCACAAGATTCCACGCCACTACCTACACTTGACTAAAATTCTGGGCCATCCATGTTCACTTCGTCTTCTGCCTCGTCATCGGACAGAAACGGGTTGTCTTCCACTTCAGGAGGAGCCTCTCCCCCCACTCCCCCCTCCCCCTCTCCCTCATCCTCTGCCCAATCCCCCATGTAGTCGGGGACTGCCTCCTCCTCCACCCTCACTTCTGCCCCCTCAATCGCCTTCGCCTTACGCTTCCTCTCCGCTGCGGCAAACAGAACAGACTTAGCAGGGCGCCTCAGCTTCTCGCGCCAACACTCAAGGGCCTCGTCCCAGTCAGTCTCGTACTGCAGCAGGGAAATTACCATCAGCTCGCTGAGGCGCGCATTGCACAATGCGCCCCGCACCCATGACTTGACGACGTTCTGCCGCGAGAAGCCTCGTTCACACTCCACTGTGCTCAGCGGCAGGACAGCGCACGCCTGCCACAAGCGCATGAGGTTGGGCCAGCGACTGCCAAAAGGGTTGGGGGAATAGATTATACGGAACAAGACCAGTGCATTAGCGATGCTAGTCAACAATCGATAAACAACATCCAAAGGGAAGAATAAAAGCGCAAAAAAAAAATGCAACAATCGTCCTTCGAGCAGCACTCTCTCACAAGGTCGACTCCATCGAGCCGAGGTAGTTTGTCTGGCCTTGATGGAATCCCTCGTCGGCATGGTGGCTCAGCATCAGTGGCGCCCACGTGACCAGCTCCTTCTGCGCAGCTTGCAAGGAAAAGCCTGTCAGCCTGTTCTCGAACAAGGCACTGCAGCCATGTAGGTACTCCTTCAGCTTCTTCTCTCTCTGCTGCTTCATCCGGGGCCACTTCGACACGCGGAAGAGCTTCGTCGGGCCGAGATTGTTCAGGTCCAGCATCCTCGTCTTCAGGAAGCTTATCGTGTCCTTCGCGAACTGCGCGCAAAGCCGCTCGCAATCGGGGTACTTGCTGCGGAAGGCATGCCCGTCGATCTGCTTCTCGTGCATGGTGTAGGTGTGCGTGACTGGGTTGCCGTCTTTGTCGATGCCCCGCACCTTTACGCGTTTGCCCCCTCCGCGCCCGTAGACCGCCAAGAAAGCCGAAAGCCACGTGCCTTCGACACCCCCACCGAACACCTCTCCGCACTCCAAGTAGCGGTGGCGGAGGTCCCCTGTCGCCTCGTCGATGTCCTTTGTCACTTCGGTGACATCGACCTGATGGAAGTGACAGACAAGGGAGTGGAGTCAGAGGGTGATTCCAAAGGTGGATGCATGGGACAAAAACTACAACATTAACAGGGATAGAAGCTCACCTCCCTCTTCTGGACTTTGAGGTTGAGCTCATTCATCACTCCGAGCACGTCCGCCAGGAAAAAAAGACAGAACTGGAACTTGTAACAGATGACGACCTCATACAGCTCATGCCCGTACTCATAAAAGAGAATGATAGCGGCGCCAAGGACCTTACAGAGGCGCCTCACAGCCTCACCCCTTGAAAGCCAGCGCACGGTATGAATTCCTTGCACTTCAAGATTGGTGTTGTGTATTGCCCGCTGCAGGTACTTGAAGCGTTGACTCCAGACACAGGAACGTCCCAGAAGATCGGCCAGAGTCCGAATCACAAGGTCGACCATGTCGAAGTCTGGAGAAGCAGTGGCCGCGTCCTTCACCGCCAAGGCTTCCCTGCATGGTGCACACGAAGGAATTTTAGACAAGCAGTTGTAGGAACTCTAAGCGACTGAAATGACAAGCGGTTAAACCTGTGGGCGATGCAGTGCGACGAGACGAGGTGGGGGATGTGCTCGCGAAGTCGGGCGACGAGACCATTGTCTCGGCCGACCATGACAGAGGCGCCGTCGGTGCTCATGCCGGTGATTCGAGAGAGGTCGATGCCAGTTGCTTGCAAGTGAGCTAGAAGAACGGCGAGGAGAGACGCGGCATCGCACTTTTCGACGGTCAGGAGAGCAAAAAACTCTGTGACAACACGATGCGCACGCAAGAAGGTCAGATAAACAATGAGATGTTTACCGCGAGTACGGTCAGTGCTCTCGTCGCAGCTGATGCCGAGGTAGGGTGAGGCGAGAATGTATTGCATTTGTCGGCGCTACAGGTAGGTTGCGAGGCTGCTGACGAGCTGACAGAAGCCATACCTGTAGTAGCAGAAGTGACAGCAGGGTGTTGGTTAGACCTTTATGAAAAATGAAGAACATGGTGTACTTCGAATAAGTGCATTACCGTGTCAGGTAGACTCCGTAAGACTGCAGCTGAATGTCCGGTGTCTCCTGCTCGGCCATGAAGCGGAGTAGCCTCGGGTACATGCTGATGGGTGCATCACACTTGCACAGGAAGTCGACGCAGCGTAGGAGCCTCATGACACGCTTCCCCTCGATGTCAGTCCGCGCGTAATTCTCCATGCGTCTCTGGGTGCTGGCGATGTCTTCGGCGATCTCCATCTGACGCTTGACTACTACTTCGTGGGCTGTCGTGTGTTCGTGGAACCGCATCGCTTGCGTCTGCAGGTCACGTGCCCCGTCGCGGCTGTTGGAGTACGGTGTTGTCTCTTTGCCGAAAGCCTTGCACACACTGCACTTCAAAGCAGGGTAACCGTCTTTCGTTTTCGTTAGCAGAAGCCAAGGGAAAAATGGAAGCCAGCTGGTCTTATACTTGTGCTTAGCCATGAGATACTTCTGCTCGATGAGTTCCTTCTTTGAGAGATTCGGCGGCTCGGGTTCTGGAATACCAGGGGCCTGAGGTTCAGGTGACGTGCGAGGCGGCGACCGTCGATGTAGCTTCCCGCCGAGGACTATCGTGCTCTGGGTGTACTTCCCGACGCGTGCTTTCTTCCCAGATGAAATCGTCGACGCACACTCGACCGTGTAACGCACGGTCGTGGCTGTCTCGCAGTCTGGAACCAAAGGGCCCCGGCTAGATGAGGCGACAGCGGGCGGAGGTACATAGGGAGCGGCGGGAGTAGATACGGGTTGTGATGGTGTAACGACTGCGGTGGGAGACCACAAGATGTCTAGAGCGGATCTACGGACCTCCACGGGGGGGTCCCTACCTAGTCCAGAACCATCATCGGCAGTGGGAGACTCACCAGAGTCTCCTACATCCGCCATGGCTAGAAGCGGCGGATATGATGGAAATGAGAAATCGGCGCGACGAAACTAGAGGAGACAGAAGACTGGAGCATCTCGTAGCTGTGACGTGAAGAACAGAAAAAAACTGGGTTGGAGGAGGAGCTGGTGAAGAAGACGGGAAGAGGACCAAGAAGCACCATCTTTCGATTTTCATGGATGGTGCATAACCCATCCATGTTCCCGTATCGCCATGGCAATAACGTCAACGGCGAGACGCACCTGCGCTGGCATCGTCTGCACAGAGATGATTGGCGGGGTGATGTCATACAGAGGCTGACATTGCAGCGCTCATCATATTCTGTCCTCGTCTGCTGCGTGCTGAGTCACGAATGCCAGTTGACGGTTGCAAATGTTGCTGTAATGGCAACATACAGCGTGTTCATGGCGGGAATCTTGCCGAGTGCAGATTCCCCACGTGACGCATGCTGGGCGTGTTCAATGGACTGGGCCCCGTCACGCGTAAGGGGGCCATTTCGAGGAAATTCAGGGTCCGCATGGATGTCGCATTCAGGGTTCGTACGCATTACTCCCTGAAAACTCAGTGTTGGGATAACGCAAACCCTGAAATTTTCAGTGTTCACAAACATACAACCCTGAAGAGGTTAGGGTTAAAAAAAACCCAACCCCGAAAATTAAGGGTTGGCAAAAAAATACCCTGTGAAATCAGGGAATCATGGTAAAATACCCTGATAACGACAGCCCTGCTGGTGAATGACACCAGCACTGCATATATGGTTCTGGTTTCCCTTAAAACCCGCAATCCAAATTGCAAGCCGCGGTGCTCAAACGCACTGCGTTTGAAGGGGGCTGGGGCGAGGGTTACAGGGGATGTTTTGCTGGGGGGTTTGGGGGCTGGTGGGGAAGGGGGTTGTGAAGTTCAGTGCGTGCTGCAATTTGGAACCTCGAAGTGTTCAGGTGCCAAAGCCGTTCTTCTTCCAAGATCTAAAACTAACGGTCCAAATTCGTTTTGGGGGAACAACATCTTGCGACCGAAACGTAGCCGTTCGATTAGAGATCATACCAATCGATGGCCCAAAATTCATTCGCGAAACCACTGTTTCAAACGTGCCTTCATCTGATTGGTGTTTTGGATCCACCAATCTGGCTTCAGTTCACGAGAACTGAATTCTGGCGAAATATTTTCCATCGCTCGCAGAGCCCATCCCAAGCTTCCAAACGCACTGTGTTTGGACAATTTGGGCCACGGGATTTAAATATGTGATAATGCATTGTTCATCACGCAGTTATGGCCGTATATTATCAAGTACAGGATCTGTATTGATGTCGGGCTGGCTCGTTTTTTTGTGACTGTGCCAGAGCTGACACAATGAAGTGCAAGCTGCAGTCAAATCCTGCTTGCTCTGCGACAGCTGTCTTTCACTACAGTACACAGCAACGACGACGACGACGAGGACGTGACGAAGAGAGAAGACAAGCTCGGCTCGGCTCGGCTCGGCCTGCAGCATCCGACTACAGCTCGGCCTGCAGCATCCGGCTGCATTCTATAGGCACGAAAGGAAAGTGCAGATTACATCAGAGCACCTTCCGCAAGCGAGATTTTTTGCTTCGGATCGAGGGTCAGCCCGCAAAATTTCGCCCAAACCTGGCACAAGGTACCCGAACCTAGTTACATCAACATGCCTGCAGAACAGGTCCTGTACATATGACATCTACGTCAGGGAAA